TATATATAAGTATTTATATACAAAACTTCCTACACAATAGTCATCATATGTACACACATACACACCCAAATACACGCATCAAGCTAAAGACCTAGCCCGAAGATTCAATTCCTCGAAAAAGAAAAAGTATATGGTATATCCTGTTTGAAGTGTCCTTACTGTGTCGAAAATTGGCTCCCAATGTTCACTTGCTATGAAACGTACCGAAAGCTGGACTAACGGTATACTTATGTTGGTAAGCTAGGGCTCAATTGCTATACAGATACATGTATTTCTATATATATAGATGCATCTGATCTATCCAATATCATCTCTTTTAACATAATTTCTCTTCTTACAGAAACACCAGCAAAAAAAGGCGCACCTCCAATTCCACAAAAACGGAGTAAAAGCTTCGAACTGTGCATGAATTCAAAGAGGCGAACCATAAGTCATCGGTAAGTGTTATGCTACTTCTACCATAGCTCTATTATTATGCAACATATACCAGATTCAGTAGTTTTCTGTGAAATAGGTCGAAAGAGCACAGCTGTTGCTGTTATCGATTATAAGTCCTTTGGCATTTGAAGTGTTTAGCACGCATTTGTGCCCTCAAATTAGCATAAATTATATTTTTATATATTCTCTATAATTTGAGCTGCTGGTGACAGTTGGTTAACATGAGCCATACTTCTGAATAGTAAGGGAAAAATCAATATTTACCAATAAATATTAAGAAACGGCCAAACATATTACTGTTAAGAACTAACAGCTGTTAGCTACATGTGCAACTTCTAAATACAAGTGTTAACTAACAATAATTAGTTAGTTTAGTCTACAAATCAATAATATATGAAAAACTTATTTTAAGAAAGATCGATATGCCGAAGCTTATCGATTTTTGTATTCGATTAATGATGAGTTTTTTATTCTTTCTCCCACTTATAGGACTTCAAGTAATAGGCATCGGAAGTTACAGCCGTTCAGGTACACGTGAGCCAACCAATAGTTTTTTACTAAACATACAACAAAAAAAATACATAAAAAAACAAAAAAAAATTTAAAAACTTAAAAAATAACAAAAAAAAAAAAAACACCAATAGCTAAGACTATGCCAGATATATAGAGAGCATATAAATACTACTACTACAGTAAAGCCCGCACTACAAACCGAAAGGAAGGGGAAAAGGAGACGGCAGAAGGAACCACAAAAACAAAACAAAAAAAGATCAAAACTAGAAAGGAAATAGTAGCAACTGAAGATAACACCAACTAACTAGATGAGAAAGCAAGTATAGGCTCCACAACTCCTAAATAGGATCCACAGCCCAGCATTGATAACGAAACTTGGGAAGCCTATAGCCCAGTTTGAATTTTGTTCTTTTTGGATGATCGTAGACGACGACGATTGCTACTAACTAGACTCTCCACAAGCAAACATACCTGCCAGAGAGCTAGCGAGCGAATCAGCTAGCGTGAGTAAGAAACAGAGAGAGATTCTAGAGATCAGCGCGATCAGAGCACAGGTTAAGCCAAAAGCAAATTTAATGAACGGGAACGAGGCGCAACGAAGCAATTGCAAAATAGCCAAAATAGCTGAAGTCAAGAAGTTGGTGCTGCCAGCCGCACAAACCAGCATAGACAATTGGAATTAGCCGATCCGAAACGATCCTGATCAGATCTGATCCCCGTACCCTGAAAAACGCTGCCAGCACTACACCCACGTACACACACACACGCACACACACACACACACACCGTTACAAACAGTCAGCAATCGGCACCTGGATCTAGTTGAACCAACAATAATTGAATCAGTCAAGAGTCGTTCAATCAATCATTCACTTCAAACCAAACGGTACATCGGAGCTTCAACATGGCGACCGTCAACGTGAATCGCAGTGTTACGGATATCTTCTATCGCTACAAAATGCCACGCCTCCAGGCCAAAGTGGAAGGTAAAGGCAACGGCATCAAAACGGTCCTCGTCAACATGGCCGAGGTGGCAAGAGCGATCGGAAGACCAGCTACCTATCCAACCAAGTACTTTGGCTGTGAGTTGGGCGCCCAAACGCAATTCGATCATAAGGTAGGTGTTATATAAACATAGATAGAGGTAAAACTGAAAATGTAGATCGGTCAAAAGCGTGCCTTTGAACTCTCGATCCTATCTATATATAACTCTAATATATTTATTTATTCAATTTCGTAGAACGAACGTTTCATTGTGAATGGATCGCATGATGTGAACAAGCTGCAGGATTTGCTCGATGGTTTTATTCGGAAATTCGTGCTCTGTCCCGAGTGCGATAACCCTGAGACAAATCTAACTGTCTCGGCCAAGAATCAGACCATCTCGCAATCGTGTAAGGCCTGTGGCTTCCATGGCTTACTAAAGGTCAACCACAAGGTGAATACGTACATTGTGAAGAATCCGCCATCGTTGAATCCCGCTGCTCAGGGTTCATCACTAACGGAGGGCAAACGCTCGAAGCGTGTTCAGAAGCAAAAGAATGAAAACTCTGATGGGTCGATGTCCAACAATTCAATGGCCAACAATTCTGGCGGCGAATCCGATGGCGGCAACGGCACCAACCATGCCAGCCAAACGGAAGCCGAGATTAGCGCTGCCATACCAGAGAAGAGCATAGCCGAGGATGACGACGATGGTGGCTGGAGCGTTGATGTTTCCAAGGTAAGCTATGAATTGCAGATGAAGATCTAGCCAGAGCTGCAACTTTCTTAAATAGCTGTAGAAAATAGTAAAGAGTCATGAAAACCTGCTAAGACAACGGGATTGCAAATAGTAGCAGAAGTTACGTACTAACTGTTAAGACTCTGTTAATGTTACTCTGTTTCATAAAAGCTGCGGTTAACATAATAATAACAGCAAACATATGTTCGCATCCATTCTATGGTATATTTAGAGATTGACATATCCTTTCCCTGCGATTTTCGACTTGCGTTTATTGACTTATTCAATTCTTTGTGCTTTGCAGGAGGCGATACGCGCACGGTTGCAGGATCTGACAGATGGTGCCAAGGGTATGACCATTTCGGATGACTACGACAAGACAGAGAAGGAGCGCATCGACATTTTCTACGAGCTGGTAAAGAACAAGCGGGATTCGAACCAGCTGGATGATGTGGCCACGCATAAGGAGCTGCTGATTGAGGCCGAGCGCTTGGATATTGTGAACAAGGCACCGCTAGTGCTGGCCGAGCTGCTCTTCACTGAGAATATCACGCACGATGTGAGGAAAAATCGTATTCTCCTGCTGCGCTTCACCCACAACAATCCGAAGGGTCAACGCTATCTGATCGGCGGCATCGAGCAGACGGTTGAATTGCATGCGAAGACATTGATGAGCAAGGTGGCTGGAATCTTCAAGATCTTCTACGATTTGGACATCCTGGACGAGAAGGTGATTCTTGAATGGGCCCAAAAGGTCAGCAAGCGTCACGTTTCGAAGAAGATAGCCACTGAGATACACGAAAGAGTTGAACCGTTTGTCCAATGGCTAAAGGATGCCGAGGAGGAGGACTCCTCATCGGACGACGATGATAATGCTTGCGGTGATTCAGATGTCGAAATCGAATATGATGATCGTGCCCGTGTCGAGCCCCTGAAGGTGGCAGCGGTCAGCGCCGCCGTTGCTGCTGTTAACAAGAAGAACGCCATGGAAGATGAGGATGGCGATGAAATAGACATTGATGAGATCTAAGCAGGGAGCACCAACATCAGTTTGTGGACAAGGGAATAGCCAAAATTTGTAATAGCACATGGTTTAGAAGGAATGGAAACAAATAGAAAATGAGTGAATAATAGAAAGACTAGGACTAGAAGCAAGGCAAGCACAGTGACGATTGGCAGGAAGCGACAAGCGAATAGCGGGAAGCGAGTAGCGTGAGTTACAAGCGGCGGGCGATGAATTGCGAAGCAACAAATGGCGTGGCAATGCTATCAGCGAACAAGGATTAGCTGCCAGACGAGTTGCGAGTGTCGATTTGCTGGTGACTAAGGGCGAATTAGCGAGTAATTAGTTAGCTTGATAGGTGCACTGCATTCGATCAGCCAAGTTCTTTCGGTAATGAATCGCCCTATCTCACGACTTCACTACATTTCGATTGTAATCACATTTGCATTATCCTATATACCCATTTGTAACAATAAACACAAAATCTAAATTTAAATTAAATTGCACATATACAATACATCAATATGTTATATGCTATATATCTAGATAATAATGGCGCTGATCAACGTTTCCCTGTCCGAAATCCCAAAYAACAACAACAAACTGCAGCAGCTACAACAGCAACAATATGAATAACTACTTTTTCTTCGGCTTTCAATTTGTAGTGTAAATTTTTTTTTTTTACAATTAATATTTCAATTATATACATAAATTTTTTACTGATATCCTTTAGTTTAGCCCATCTCACGGTATAAATTTGTATTTCACATTTTTCGATATACCAAATTCTATATATTTTTTTCTCTCTTCATATATATATATCTGTTTTAAATGTTTAATTAATTTTAAGTGCAGTACTTAAGCAAATCGCGATTAAAAGCAAGAAAAAAAGTTAAAAGAAAAGCATAAACAAAACATAAACTTTATACACATGCGACCAATTTTTTTTTTATTTTTACTTAAAAATTTTTTGTAAACACAAATTTGGCTTTCAATAAAATTATATATACGAAAAATATTTAAAAAAAAAAAAAA